TGAAACACATAAGGGGATCAGCTTGTACAGGCTGATTGACCCAGTTTGGCTCAGACGTGAACTGAATGGTGGCCCATGAGGGTGTCAGCTGGACACCCAGCCAGATTCGGAGGTATTCTGTTTAACTGTGTGCTTGTGTCTGACTGTAGCTGCTGTTGCTCTGATTAACTGATTCTTGGCATACGAGGGTGTCAGCCTGTCCATGCTGACCAACCCGGCCAGGTCAGGTGTGTCACATTAATTTGTGTGTGTTTGTGTCTATGACTGATTTGGGGACTGGAGGAACCCAGCCCCACTGCACTGAGTCCTGCACAATAGCCCCACTGGGGGTGAGGGCTTGCAGAAGGGAGAGATACAGCTCCGAATAGAAACACAAGTAACACAAGCAGCAGGTTAATAGAATTACCAGGACCCTAGCCCTAATAAATGAGCACTTCCCAAAGCAGCGGGCAAATCTGGTAACACCACAGTTGGCCAGTTTTTCTATGAGATGATCATGGGACATCAGATTGAAGGCTTTTTTAAAATCAAGATATATGACGTCAATCTCTTCTCCCTTATCCAGGTGATATGTCACCTGGTCATAGAAGTAGATGAGATTGGTCAGGCAAGACCTACTCGCAACAAACCCATGCTGGCTGTCCCTCAGGAAGCTGCCTTCAGCCAGTTTGTCAAGAATGGTCTCTTTGATGATTTTTTTCCAAAATCTTCCTCAGGACAGAGGTCAGGCTGATGGGCCTGTAGTTTCCCAGACCTACTTTCCTCCCTTTCTTATAGATAGGTCTTTTTCCAATCTTTGGGCACGTCGCCTGAGTGCCTTCAAGTCAGCTTAAACCCTGGGGTGTAAGCTGACTCGAAGGTGTCCAGCCTCTCAAGGTGTTCCTTCACATGGTCAACATTGATAAAGGGTAAATATTCTCCCTTGCCCTGGCCATCCCGTACCGTATTGAGCAGAGCCGTCCCTTGGGGCTGGTGAAAAAACGATACATAATACCCATTAAGTAGGTTGGTTTTTTCCTGAGTGTCTGTTGTCAGTTGACCCATGTTGTTTAGGAGGGGTCCAATGTTACCCTTGCTTTTCCTCTAGCTCCCCACATATCTAAAAAGGACTTTTTATTGTCCTTGATACGTGTAGCCAGTTGGAGTTCAGTTGCAGCCTTGGCTTTCCTGGTTCGCTCCCTACAGGACCAGACCAGTGCAGAGTACTCCCCTTTGGGGTGGATCCAGTCTTCCATCCATTATAGGCCTTCCTTTTTAGATGCAGGAGGTCCACTCTTTAGTTCCCTGAAAAGCCAAGGGGGCTGCTGTGCCCTTTTGCTGCCTTTCCTCCAAGACAGAATAGACATTGCTTGTGCTTTCAGGATCACCCCCTTGAGGAGCAACCACTCATCCTGAACTCCCCTTCCCTTTGGGTCGTGGTCCCTTAGGGCCTCACCAACAACCTCCTGAGCTTGTCAAAGTCGGCTTTCCTGAAGTTGAGGACTTCTGCTTTGCTGACTGACTTGCCAGCTTTACGGTAGATGGTGAAGGTGATCAGCTCATGGTTGCTGTCTCCCAGCTTCCCTTCGATCATTAGGTCGCTGATTAAGTCATCCCCCATTGCCAGTACCAGGTCGAGCAGCACTTTGCCTCTTGTTGGTCCATAGACTTCTTCAGTCAGATAGAGGTCATCCACACACATGAGGAACCTTTGCGACAGTCTGGATCTGGCCGAGTGCTCTTCCCATGAGATGTCTGGGTAACTGAAGTTTCCCATGACAATCATGCACCGGGAGCATGCAGCATCAGCCAGTTCCCTGGCAAATTCCTGGTCAAGCTCTTGATCCTGGCTAGGAGGTCTGTAGTAGGCTCCTAACATTGTGTCCCCTATGCCTTGTTTGCCACGGATTTTGACCCAGAGAGTCTCCAATCATCCCCCCTGGGTGCCAATGTCAGCTTGCAGGGATGTGTAGCTTTCCTTGACATAGAGAGCTATCCCCACCCCCTTTTTCCACATGGTTTCTTCTGGAGAAGGTATAACCATCTATACCCGCGGCACAGTCATAGGTGGAGTCCCACCAGGTCTCTGTTATTCCTATGAGATCGTAATCCTTTTTGTTTAGCAAGAGAACCAGTTCCTCCTGTTTCTTCCCCAAGCTCCTGGCATTGGTGTGCAGGCACATAAGTGTCCCACTGGGGGCCCTTGCCTTCCCTACGGATCGCTCTGGGGATGGGGCAGGCGTGGGTTCCCTTGAGTGCCTTGGTTTGCTGGGTTTACAACAGCTGCCCAGTGGGCTTGAAGTGGTGGTACTCCCCGCATCCCCTGGTGGGCTCAGTTTAAAGCCCGGTTGAGCAGGTCAGCAAGTCTGGCTGAGAAGAGCCTCCTGCTCAGTGGAGTGAGGTGGTGGCTGTCTCTTCCCAGTAGACCACTGCCTCTCTCACCAAAGAGTGGACTGTGATCATGGAAGCTAAAGCCTTCAAGATGACACCAGCACCACAGTCTTTGGTTGACTACCTTGACCCGTCTCTCCCTCCTCAGCCCATGACCCACAACTGGGAGGAGCAAGGAAAAGACCACCTTCACCCCCCAACCCCCTAAGTCCCACTCCCAGAGTCCTGTAGTCTCTCATGACCCAGCTGGGATTGCTCTGAGCCGTGTCATTCATGCCCACACGGATAAGGAGCATAGGGTAGTGGTTGGAGGGCTGGATAATCTTTGGGATCCTCTCTGCTATGTCCCAGATGTGGGCCCCCAGGAAGTAGCAGAACTCCCGGGCTAGGGGGTCAGGGCAGCAGATTGCCCCTTCAGTGCCCCTCAGGAGGGAGTCTCCCATGATGACCACTCTGTGTTTCATCTTAGAGAGAGTAGGGATGGGTGATCCTCCCTTGCCTGTAGGAGCTGGCATCTCTGCAGGTTCTTCTGGGGCTGCAAGAGTTTCATGCCTGTTGCAAAGCCCCAGAGGGGTGGGGACCTTGGTGCGGTGGGCCTTGGGGCCCTTGACCACCTTGATCCAACCCCCTGGCTGGACAGTATGGGAGATCCCTCGGTCCTGCGTTGTCCTGGAAGGTGACCTTGGTCTACCCTCTGCCTCCAGGGGGTGAAGGGGCTGGCAGTAGGAGTCTATCTCCAGCTCACCATCCCTGATGGCGTGCTGTCTCTGGACTGCAGGCTGGAGCTCCTCTATCTAGCGCCCCAGAGACTCCAAAGTGGAGCAAACCTCGCAAGGGGAGGTTGTCATGCTCCCAGTCCCATGAGCCTGGAAACATGCCAGGCAGCCCTCGCAGCCAAGAGCCAGGGGCTCCATCTGCATGGAGCCCAGAACCATGGGCTTCATCTGGGCGGAGGCCGCCAAAGTGCCAGAGGGGCAGGCCGCAAACTCTGAGAGAAGCCTCGGGGTGCAATGTGTGCCCATTTACATTGCGCCGCTGGTAGGCCAGCTACTGATGGGACTTCCTTCCCTAGGGCCCTCCTGTCACCCTCCTGTGCAAACTCCCATGCTAAACCTCCGTGCCAGGACCAGAAGCATGCCTGTTTGCACATCCTGTTCGTGAGGCTCCAGTCACGTGGCTCCCTGGGGGACTGGGCAAAGTAGGAGCTGAGGTGGAGCTAAACTCTCCTCGGCTCCACTCAGCTACCTCCCTGCAGCTGCACTACGTCCCTCCCACCACAGGCCCCTGCTTACCCGTGGGCAGGTCAGGCTCATCAGGGGTCCTGGGTTCTCTTGGGGGGTCCCTGGGCTCCCAGGGGTGCAATGGGCTTGCACCCATCCATCTCGCACTGGAGCCAGGACCTGAGTGCAGCTTCTGCCATTGTCAGGCCCTTTTTAAACTGGGCCCTTTTTATTATGGCATCTTCTGCACTGGTGTTTAAAATGTGAAAAAGATCCTGGGCTTGAAATTTTGCAGTCTAAATAATGAGAGCACCTAGCAAATCCTTGCATCATAAGGCACAGACAAACTTCTGGCTAGAATCACAGAACAGGAAAGATATTACATTTCCATAAAGTGCTTTGAATCCAGGGTCAGAAGGATCTTTTCAGGCGGGGTCAAAATAATTTTGAGTTTTATGGAAAACAGCTAACATCTAAGACAAGGGGTATACTCAAACTTCTAGAATACATTCAAGAATCACTGTGGTGCCCCTATCCAACATAATAAAAGCTGTAGCACTTCCATCTGTGTATCTGTCTGTTTATAATGCTCTGGGCCAACTGTGCATGCACCGCCCAGAGCCTTACAGACAGATGGACAGGCAGGCAGGCAGAGGCAGAGGTAGAGGTAGTCAGGGCCAAGCTGTCCTCCCTGCTGGGGGGCACCACAGGAGGACCGGTCATGCGGGGGGCATGACTTGCCACCGCACAGGGAGATGTGACTTGTGACCCTGCAGGGAGGCATGGTGTGGCCATGGGGGGAGGAGGGGTCTGGCACACAGCTGCAGTGTGTTGTGCTGGGAGTGGACAGGGGGGCACAGGCAGCGGCAATTGGCTGCAGCACACTGCCCCAGGGTGGGGCACACCTCCCATGCCCTCTCCCAGAATGCAAAACTGCAGAATCCCAGAATTTCAGAATGCCAAAC